TATTGGTCTATTTGATTCGCCTTTTATTGTTTATTTTATTTTAACCTGCTAAATACGGGGCAGACTTGACTGGGGAAAAGAAAGAGAGGAATCAATCAAGCATCATTTAAAGGTCAAAGGCTACCTGAGTATTGTTAGTGTCCATGTTGTCATGGTTGAAAGATTTCTGGATCCAAGTTACCTACCAAAGTTAAGGCCTTTAATTATAATAAATGAACAAAAAGGCTGATTTGAAGTTGGCTCTAAATTCAGTCTTAGGAATAAGGTAATGTCTGAGAGGCACAGTTAGACTGGGCAGGTATGGCTGAGTAGGGTTACTGCGAGTTTGGTGAGTTTGATGAGTCTGGCAGACCACAGAGCAGCAGATGCTGTTGCTATTTTATTGAGAATAAATATTTGAATATTTGATTTCAGAGGAGCATTCCAGGCACATTTAGACACCTTAATAAACAAGCCTCATAAAATGTCAGAAATGACTTTTGTGCCAAATCTACTTATCAAAGTAATTGTAGTATAGCTGCATTTTTAACCAGTCTAGCTGATCTGCGAGCTGATTTGATGCTCTAATAATCTTCTAATCTGGATGAAAGCAATAAAGGCCAGTGAGTGAATAATCAGACTGATTCATTTCAGTTAAGCAGCAGTTTGACATTTCTGGAAGTACGCCTCGACGAGATTGTTGCCTCTCTAATGTCTGGCTTATAAATGCTAATTTTCTCCAGAAGATACCGACTAGATTGTTTTATGTTGTGTTTTTATACATTAAAAATATAACTGTCTAACTATTTGTTTAACTTGTTGCAAAGGAATAACAAATGTCAATTTTGAATGTTCGCTTTGCAGTATGGTAAACGAATCTGCAGCTTTACTATTTCTTAAAAGAGCGTAAACATGAGAGTATGGGTTTTTAAAAGCAAAACCACAACTAACTGTTATTACTATTTGATGCATTTACAAAAAAGAAAAAAAAATACATTTATTAAAAAAAAGAAAATGATATACATTTTGAACTAATTTTCTCATCTGAGACTTTTATGAAAAAATGAATGTTTTTTTTTTCCATTTAATATACCATCAAACCAGAAGAAACTGAATGAAGAATGATGATAAAAAATGACGTCTGAGTGAGAAACATCTTTTTTAATGACTTAAAAGATTTTATTATTACATGCCTGATGTTTTAAAATAAAACAAAGACAGTTTGTATACAGGCAAAAGGTTAGACAGTCCTGAAAACATGGCAGGTTACAGTGTGCTGGTATTAAAACAATTCCCTGCAGAAAATATCGTGTTGTGTGTCACAAGAGTCAAAGACGTCATTACGAATAAAATAGAAACTGATTGCTTTTTACACACCTGACAGTGGTCCTAATCCCCCTCGAAAACAACGCTCCCATCCCATCTGCTGCATTCAGTCCCTCAGGGAGCATGGCTTTACTGGCTCAGAGGGATTGAGTTCATTTGTTCATGCGTGCCTCAGTTTAATCCTAAATCCTTTAATTGTCAGTCGAGATTGATAGAATTGCCGGACTCTTACTGAATCACTGCTTTTGCATTGATTAATTAAAAATGAAATATCTTGTTTTGCATGTTCACAGCAGACACATTATCAAAATCAGAGCTTGGAGAGCTTATACCGTTTAGTATCTTGGTGAGCAACAAGTCAAGTCACAACCTGAGGCCGCTGAGGTATATCTAAAAGGCTTGAGGGAAAAGGTTGTGTGCCACTGAGGGGTTGCTTAAGTGATTAACTGACTTCAGAGTGCAGAATTGAGTTTAAAGCATGACCTCTGAGTACGCTGCCATCAGGGGAACAAAGGGCTCTAGCATTCTTGCCTTCATTCAGTCTCCACTGACCAGAAGATATGATGGTAGGGAAAATTGGTCTGGCACTAAGTGGTCCTCAATCAGCTTTTTATTGACCTAGTACACGGTTGCTGCAGCATATAATCAGTTTTTGTTCGTCTTTCACCCCATATTAATCTTGAGTTGCCAATCTACTTGGCAAATTCCTATTAAGAAAATATCATTTTAACAATTAGCTGTGCTGGAGTGACATATAAACATGGATTATAGTGAGTGACTCTGGGAGCTGGATTGTGTGTGTAAGAAATAAGGAAATCAGCTATAAAATATATAAGATGTTCCACAAAAAAATTGTCAAGAACTTTAGGAAAATGGTGTTCTCTAGGAAAAACTAAAATGGGCATCCAAATATATTTTAAATTATAATATTGCATTAATTTGCAATCCTAGCAGATTGTCTGATGTTTCAGCTGGTATTTATGTATGCAGATCTCGTTATTTGAGTGACAAAGTTTAAAATACGATAACAAATGCACACTCACTCAAAGGCTTATTAGTTGTACCCTTTTAGTACCAGTTTCAACCCAATTTTGTCTTCATAAATGCTTTAATTTTTTTTGGCGCAACAATGAAACATTCCCCAGAGATTTTCAGATATGCAGATTCTTCAGCTGCATGTCCATGATGAGAATCTACCACATCCCAAAGGTGCTCTATTGAAGCTCCGCTGACTATGGAGGTGACTCGCATACAGTGAAATCATTGTCATATTCAAAAATAAAGCCTGAGTTAATCTGAATTTTGTGGCACATTAACCTGGTGCAAGCAGCCATCAGAAGGTATACACTGTGTGTGGACCTGGGGTGGTCTTCTGCTGTACTTTCAGAGATGCTCTTCTGCATACATTGCATTTTAAAAATGGTTATTTGAATTACTGCTGCCTTCCTATCAGTTCAAAGCAGAACTGTTGCTCACTGAATCTTTTCTCTTTTTAGACTATTATCTTTAAAGTCTAGAGGTGGTTGTGTGGGAAAATCCCAGCAGATCAGCAGTTTCTGGAGTTTCAGTCTGTCTTCCGCCAACAATCACGGCATGTGCAAAGTTCCTTAAATCCCCTTTCTTCCCCATTGAAATGCTCAGATCGTACTTTAGCTGGTCACCTTGACCATGTCTACATGCCTAAATGCATCAAGCTGCTGCTGTGTGACTGGCTAAGTGTACGTTATTAAAAGGTAGTTGTCTGTACCATCTAACTATACTTTACTTCCAAAGCTGGCTGAACACAATTTGTACAGTAATATGCTGCTAGGAAAACAGTGTTAGTTTAAAAACCACAGAAATAATTTGGAATTAAATGGGGAAGGTGGTATTCTATGCATCTTTAGTGTTTTTTATTCCTGAATTTGAAAAAAACTGTCTCGCTGGTTACTGTTGGAGTGTCCTATTAGTGCTCCAGTGTCATGAACATTGCATTTGTAAGTGCACGGGTGCAGTATGATGTTCATTATGTAATATCTGTGCTGCCTCAGGACACAATTATGGTGCGAGGGAAGTACACTTGTATTGTCTTGCTGTGCTTGTTCTGTGGCTCTCTGCGGTTGGAACAGCATTAATGGACATGTACTTAGTGGCAAAAAGAAATATGCAACATACAGGAGGTATTTGTATGGGGTTTTCCCCTATTTTTAATAATTATGCACTGAACTGTTCTTACATTTGCATGTTAGGACTAATAAGAATGAAATATCATCAGACACCCGAAACCCTCATTGACTTTTTTTTTATCCACACAGCCTAGAGACAAGTGATGACAGTGGGGGTGATTTCTATTCCTCTTGTGCTGCCATTAATGAGAGGCAGAGATGGGAAATGCTGGAAAAGAGGGAGATAAAGAACATGGAAAGACATTTAAGAAGTATAGATTTTTGAGTCCTAGAGTGATTCCTGAGATACATTTAAGTATTTTTCCAGTTATTGTGATCTTGATGAGTCAGAAGCAGCTAAATAAAGGCCATCGAGAGTATATTTTAATTGCAGTTTTGGTGTAATAATGATGGATTGACTCCACCTGTATGCATTTATTTGATTCCTATTGATACATATTATATATATATATATTATACAATTTATTTTACATTAAACATTATTTTATTTATAAGTGTAACTGGTATGTGCTTTTATTTTTATAGAAATATCATCACTGTATGGCTGGACTACTCGCCCCACCCTATGGTGTCATGGAAAGCGGTTGTAACGCAGACAGTAAGTGACCTCGTTTGGACCTAACAACTATATATTTCATTCCTAACTTTGTCAGTTATTATTGGCAGTTACGCCATCATATTCAACAAATGCCTCAAAATCACAGCCTGTCCTGTGATTTTGAAGCGTTCACTGAACTTTGCATAAAATCTCATCCTAACATTCAACTGTAAAATGTCGCAGTGCTGATGCTCCGACACGTTTAAACACAGTAGCTTGCACAGATGGTTATAGTCTTAAAAGCTTGTGGATTTGTTTTACTTTTAGCAGCTTTTATGTCACAAATGATAAAACATTTTTGTGACCGATGGTGTAGAGAGACAGGAAATTTAGAGAAAGGGCACCTCCGTTTCACTAAATGAAATGGAGCAAGAGTACAGGCAGAAAAAAAGTACTCACTGCTGATGTGCTTCCTAATTGCTCGGCTGTCATGCCGTCCTCAAGTTGATTCAGTTTACTTCAGTGTTAGTATGTTGATTGTCTTCAGAGTTTATCAAGATGAAGAAGAAATTCTTCATTTTACAGTAAATGGCTCCTCTGACTTTATAAATGTTTTTACAAACAACCAATTTTTCTGCTCCTACGAATAAAAAGGATCTATTATTGTATTTCTTTCTGACTAACTCCATTACTGTTGGAACCTCTGGCATTGTGTCGAGGCTGATACTATCATTTCTGCTTTTCTGTTGCAACCTAACTCGATATTGACTTTGCTCTGCTCAAACAGAGCACTTAACTTGCTTCAAAGTCACGTATCATAAAAATGATGAACGGCAGTCCATAAATCCAGTCTGCTGGTTTACCAACACTGGGGTCACTGTCTATTGTTATGTATTTTTAATGATGATGGACATATTTTAAAGAAAATGCTTTTTAAAGATTTTCCTGTAAAGTACTCCCAGCCTCAAACTTACAGTCCCTAAAGCTAAGATTTGATTAACTACTGTAGCTTTTAAAAGTGGATGTGCCTTTTTGATTGCTGCATGCTTTGCTGCAGCAATATAAGAGCTGGGGCTTGAGTATTTTTGCAGCATAGAGTTGAGTACTGAGGGGTTTTACAGCTTTAACTCGATGCACGGATGCAGAAAGACATAAGTCCCACAAGCACCGGCGGTTACTGTCACAGCAAATTAAACATGTTTTAAACTGTTTTCTTACAGTGCGCTTTTAAATCACTTTGTTATTAACAGGTCAGCATTGTTTTCTTCACTCCAGTCATGCACTCCACCTAAGCATGCATTTGTTTGGCCACTACAATGGAAAATATTTCTTCTCAGAAACAGCATTTTTCTTTCCTGGCAAATGACCAACACTTGGTTTAACTTTCACTTTACTCTACATTCCTGGATGAATGAACTGATATCACAGCTTTGCAAACAAAATGATGGGCAGATGTGTTAACTTCTGTAAACATGCACAAATTCTATACAAACACATAACATGAAAAATATCATTCATACTAAAGCCGTGCAAGGCTGGTACATGTCTTTAATGTTAGCATGAAATGCAATGACCCTCTCTGCTGCTGAAGCTTTCAATAAAATGCAGAAATCCTCCGGGCTGAACCACGTATACAGTAGGTTATATAAGATGTTTGTGCTTTCAGTGTTTTTCACTCTTTTTTGCACTTGTGGTGAGGAGAACTTTGGGGAAATTTATTTTTTTAAGGATTAATATTAAACAGAAACCATGATGTCAACTGTAAAAGCAACTATGTATGGCATTTGCTCACAAAATGTTGTACTAAAAGTGAGTACTTTTATTTTTATTTTTATTTTTGACAGTTGTTTGCACGCTGGCAGTAGAGCAGATAGAAATGAAACAATGAGATACAATTTTAGGCATGTAGATATTTTCAAGACATCTTTGAACGTGGTTTGGTTGTTGGTTCTTGACAGGCTGGTTGGAGTATTTCAGAAGCAGCAGAAACGACACAACTTACACTATTGGTTTACAGAGAATGGTCAGTAGAAGAGCTGGAGTTCTCTTCGTAAATATGCCTTGTTGAAGCCAAAGGTCCGAGAAACATGGCTAGACTGCTTCAAGCTGATTTAAAGGCAAGAGTAACTCAATTAACCATGTGTTACAACCAAGGTTTGCAGAAGAGCAACTCTGCATATGTAACACATTGAACACAGAAGCAGATGGGCTGCAGCGGCAGAAGACCACAGTGGTGCCACTCCTGTCAGCTGAGAACAGGAAACTGAAGCTACAGTTTGCACAGTGTCACCAAAAACTGGAAAAACATCAAAGATGTCCAGCTGAGAAATCTGCAGCAACTATGTGATGTTATCGTGTCAATATGAGCCAAAATCAGCACCTTGTTGAATGTATGCCATGAGTAATGAAGGCACTGCTGAAGTCAGGGTGGTCCAACAAAAAGAAATAGTATGAAGAAAGTATAGTAATGCAGGCCAACATAGTCTGACATTCAAACCACTGACAGTTATTCTACAGAGTCTATGGAGGAACCTAATTATTCAGCATAAAAAAATGACCACTGAATATTCTAAGGAGCTTGGAAAGAAAAGCGTCTGGACTTCTTTGAGTTTGAGTTCACCTCTCATTCTTCAGAAGCTTCTCGGATGAGAGGAGGTGGAGGTGACGGAGAACCTTCACACCACCACTGAATATTCAGGATACAATTTTTAATTAAAAAATTCTAACAGAACATGTACAGTATATGCAACCTTTTTGTTTTCAAGGATTAGTTGATTTTTGTTATAGTAAATTTGATTCCCCTGTAAAGCTTCTTGTGTGTGTGTTTTAATTATAACTTGCGGACATCTCAGCGATTATAAAGTCTTTTTTTCTCTGCAGCTTTGCAGGATCTTTACAGATCCTTCATGACTAACATACATCCTCTGTTTTTCCCCACCAGGACTGCCTGACAAAGAGAACATAAGCAACAACTCGTTTGTTGTCTCCAAACCTCTGAATAAGGTAATTCCTCTGTCTCTATTTAGAATGAAACCTTTTCATTTTATGAGGCCGCAAGAGCATCCTGTACTGTTGCTCACCTCCTCAGTGGGGCACAGAAATAAGTGTGGAATGTGAAGTTTGTTTAAAGTTGCTCTAAATATAAACACAGTGACTGGATTTCTCGTCTCCATCCAGAACAGTTCCTGTCCCCTCTCCTGCTGTCATTTCCTGACCACTGAGATGATAACAGCAGATTTATAGAACTACATGCGTTGTTCACTTATGGAGTTTAGCCACATCACAATCGCTCTCTTACATAAAAAGAGAAACTGAAAGTGTGCATTCTTGTTATGTAACCAACAAAGACAGAATTAATTTACTATAACATATATAAATAAGCCCAGTTTCTTTGGCAACTGAGTGGTCTAATGTCTTGTAAATAAATGATGAGGCTTTAAAGCTTTCACAGAAATGCATGACTTGCACTGCTCTCTGAAGCATTCAGAATGCATTTTAAATGTCAAAGTCCTGCAGCCCACCCCGTGGCCATCCTCAGCTGGAAAAATCAAAAACAACAACAAAAAAGCACTCCCATACTGTAATTCACAGTATCTGTGTCCCATTAAAGCAACTGAATGCATCAGTCAAGACTGTGCTAACGGAACGGTATGGAAAGTAAATAAAAAGTAAATAAAAATCAAATTTGAATGCAATAAAATCATAATGTCAGCTGTGAGTCATGCAGTAACAGCAAGGATGAGATCCTGTGGCCCCACAGTGAGAGGAAAAACATCAGACCGGACTTGTCTCTCTGACACATTGTTTCTTCCCCGATGTATTTTATCGCAAATTACTGGACTGTTTTGTTCTTTGGCGAACCTTCAGCTTTACCTACTTTGTGAGATTCAGTGTAATGCCATCAGTAGATCCTGAGTTTCAGTGTCATGCATGAGGCATTTTATTTCACCTCCTCTCGTTTTTTTTTTTTTTATGTTTCACTTTATTTTGCAGAAGTCATTCATTCAAAGTCCAGCCAAACCCCACCCTAAATGCTTTTCTCAGGTAGTAAACACAATCACTGCACTCAGTCAAACTCCACAGTGTGCTGAGATTTAACTGAAATTCTACCGGGCAGGTCCCCTCCGAGAAGATCCTCCATGCAGGGCAGATTCTCCGGAACGCCATCCTCTCCAGGGCGCCTCACATGATCAGAGACAGGAAGTACCATTTGAAGACGTACAGGTTAGTTCAATAAGGAGAGATCATTAGACAGAGATGAACATGATTTACTGATGCAGAGAATTTAGATAGAGGTATTTGGTGGTTAGACTTCAACAGAAGCCCAGCGGTGATAGGGAATAGAGCATGACCCCCCCGGGTTTAGACGCTGGTGGTGGAGATGATTTAAAATACGCAGTGTGAATTAGCCTGAAGACGGCCAGGAGAAAGATGATTGGACTAGATCAGTGATGTCACAAACAGCTTGACGGCATGGGAAAGTGGAAGTGATGTGAAGCTTAGATTTAGCTGGCAACACCTGGGAACAGAAAGATGTGAGACCCCTTATTGAACTTATGCATAAGCTTCATTTGGCACCCCTTTCTTTTTAATGGAAACACTCAAGCAAAGTGTATTTATTATTTTTTTTCTATTTTTATCACTCTCTAAAAGCGAAGAAAGCAGTTGAAGAACATTAAGGATTTATGCCAGTATCCAACATCAAAAACTGGGATGTGTGGGATGAACTTTGGCCAGTGTCAGATGGTTTAGTATGGTGTTTTGCCTGAGTAGAGCTGACAGCTATTGGACTGAGGAGCTTCACCAGGTAATGTTCAGAAGAGATCAGGGTTGTTGTGCAGGTGTGAAAACACTTTTTGGTAAAATCTCGAAACTCTAATCTGCATTGTAACCAGAGGGGCACAGATGAAAACCCAGCCAGTGGGTGGCCATCGGTTCTCTTCCGGTACTCGAGCTTCCTCCCACAGTCCCACAGTTATTTTGGTGATTCTAAATAGCCCATAGGTGGGAGAGTGAGTGTGAATAGTTGTTTTTCTCTCTGTGTTAGCCCCGTGATAGACTGCCAACCTGCCTCTCCCCTCAGTAACAGCTAGGATAGGCTCCACCACATGTTCTGGAGCTTATTTTGGACTGACAGGTGCAAAAAGGGCAGTAAACACACGCAGCCAGGTAGATTTATCTGGTGAGAGCTAAAAGGTGAGTAAATATCCTTAGTGGATTCAAAGAAATGATAATGTTGAACTGTGTTTGCCTGATGTGTAAATGTAAAGGTTCACCACGTCTTAGTGTTGCGTTTATAGTTTGTTGTCAATCATCAGTTATATTTATTTTAATAAATGTTCATAATTTTGTTTGTTATGAAGACATTAAATGTATTCACATAATATTCAATTTTATTTACCACATCTATCAGTACAAGCTGTAGACAGCGGCTGAATATAAAAGCTCTTTTATAGCAAAGCCCTGTTTGCACTTCAAGAGAATAAAATATAACAGCAGAAAATCATGAAAAAGGAAATCAGTTCATAAAACACAGAACAAACAGAAAATCAAAGTGATCTTTTGTACCTGCTCAGCCATGTAGGAGCTCATATAGGCATTTGTCTTTCCTAGGCGGTGTTGTGTGGGGACAGAACTGGTTGACTGGCAATTGCAGCAGAGCTCATGCGTCCACTCTCGCGTTCAGGCTGTAGGCATGTGGCAGGTGCTGCTGGAAGACGGTGTTCTCAACCACGGTGAGGCTCTGTGTGATGTTTGTCTGCACGTGTGCAGCGCGCGATCCAGTGATTTGAAATTGAATGCCCGCTGTCTGCGCTGTGTTTCTGTGATGCAGTGGACCAGGAGCTGAGCTTCCAGGACAAGTACCTTTTTTACCGCTTTCTGGACGATGAACAGGAGGATGCCAGTTTCCCCACTGACGACCAAAGAAGGGAGAGCCAAGAGGAGCTACAGGATACCTTGCTGCTTCTCTCACAGATCGGGCCTGATGCCCATCTGAGGATGATCCTGAGGAAACTGTAAGAATCTGAAGCAGAAATCAGTAAAGGAATAAAAAGGGTGATTGTTTCATGACTTCTTTCATCTTCTGTCTTTTAGTCCATCTGAAAGGACAGCGGATGATTTGGAGATCATTTATGAGGAGTTGCTTCATATTAAGGCCTTGTCACACCTCTCCACCACTGTGAGTACAGTTTACCTGCATTTTGTGACCATATTATTCCTTCTCTTAATGCACAGAATGAAATTACGTCTTTCTCCTGGTGAAAAACATCATATCTGGCTCATTAGACCTTTTGGTCCCATTTGAGTGGTGAGAGTGAAGAAAAATGATGCAAAGATGAAAACTTGCGTTATCTATTAAACACTCATTCACTGATCCTGTCCAAGAACACTTTGACGTACACGCTGGATAAGCAAGGCATCAAATATGTACTGCCTAGCTTCAGGGGATTATTCTACAACTAAAATCATCCATTTGTCTTGCTGCTCGGATTCAGTCAAACCAAAAAACAAGAAATGTGATGTGAGGACTGCTGTGCGTTTCACTCACATTCAGTTTTATAGAAATCTTTTAAACACCTGTGCTGCATTGAATAGCTGGAATATTAAGCTTTGCACACATACAGCATGCCTTTACTGTTAATTTGGCTGCTTTCTCTTAATGTTGATCCTCCTGATCTTCCTCTGCAGGTAAAGAGAGAGCTGGCCGGAGTGCTGATCTTTGAGTCCCATGCAAAAGCAGGAACAGTATGTAAGTAATCTGATAAAAATAGTAATGTGTAATAGATGCATTGTTAATGCTGATTAACGATTGAATTTGCTCAGCACACAATCAGTATTACTTCAACAAGGACAGCCTATATGAAATCAAATCTTCTCTCCCTTAGTGTTCAATCAGGGTGAGGAGGGCACATCCTGGTACATCATTTTAAAGGGCTCAGTCAATGTTGTCATCTATGGAAAAGTAGGTATTTTCCTCTTGTGAAATCATGTTACTTCTAGAGACATCAAACTGATTATACTGCTTTGACCGGGGCGTTGATTCATCACCCAGTAACTGATCAGTATGCTGTCCTGGACAGGGTGTTGTTTGCACTCTTCATGAAGGAGACGACTTTGGGAAGCTGGCGCTTGTCAACGACGCCCCCCGCGCCGCCTCCATTGTCCTGCGAGAGGACAACTGTCATTTCCTGAGAGTCGACAAGGAGGACTTTAACAGGATTTTGAGGGTTAGTGTCTGTTTAAACTCATCTCATTAACAATGAAAAAGCACCAACACCCTCTGTTGGCAAAAATGTAGTAATGCATCCATAAAAGTTATTTAATGCATCTTTTGTGATCGTACGCCAGCCCTTTGCACCCACTTGCTCAATCATCCCACTAAATATGAAATATGTTGATAATGACCTCTTTTACTGATTTGAGGTTAATTAGGTGTGGATGTAAACTTGCGTTGTGGAAGCTAACATCTTGGAGCTCTGACACGTCATAGATTTCCTGCTTGAAATAGAATATAGAAGCAGAGATTTTTTTCTAGATTAAGTAGTGATGGTCTGCAGATCTAAATGTGTTGAAATTACACATGTGACTGATTTTCCAACCATCTGATAATGCATGTCGTAGTGTTGGAAAACTGAGTGACATCACATGTTTTTATAACAATTTTTATTAAAGTTGTTAAACGTGTATGATTGATTTTCAGAATATCATATTAGGTCTGCATTTAAATCTTTGGACCACATTAAATGTATTAAACATGCTATTAAAATGCTTATACACAACCCATTAAAAAAATTGTACTGAAATTTAGCCTGAAATACAGTATCTGATATTACAGATAGTTTATGCATGCTTATTGCATGGCTCAAAATAGTGCAATGATGGTTCTGTATATGAAATAAATAAAATAGGGAATGAATAATAAGAATAATAATAATAAAAAAATTAATTAAAAAGCATATATTTATAGTAAAATATCCAAATATGTATAACAATTTTAAATATCATATAATAACTGCTACTTTACATTTCTAAAGAATAAAATTTTCATGAAGCTGCTTATGTACTGGCAAACATGTCACTACTGTTTAACACTGTTTAAATGTGACCTTTGGCAGGTGACCTGGGTTGATCAGGTCAGGTGACTTTATAAACTGAAACAACATTTTCATAGGTTAGTGGTCTCCATAGTAAATGCATTACTGTGTTTGTGTTTATTTGTATGAAGGATGTGGAAGCCAACACAGTGCGACTGAAGGAGCATGGTCAGGACGTTCTGGTGTTAGAGAAGAGCCTCAGCAGCAGTCGAACATCTGTCCAGGGATCCTCTTCCTCTCATTACAAGTAAATGTGTACACCACTAATGCATGTATAATGCAGAGCTGCACTTTCTGTCAGTTGTCTGTTAAACTTGTATCCTTAACTGTCTTCATGTTACAATATAAATTAAGTTGCTGCTTTTATTTAACAGCAAAGAAAAATTGATACTTAAAAATATTTTAAATTGTTTCAGCCATCCTTTTTCTTTGAAGTAATAAGTATGAACTTTTAAAAAATATATTTGTCCAATCACATGACTATCCCAGGTTGCTGCAGGAGTGATCCTTTCATGGTCACTTTTGAACTTGTGATTACATTTGTGAACAATAGGAAAAATGCTGGACGCTAACAGTCAGTGTGACCAGCAGATAACATGCAGGCAGCACACACACAGCAATCCTGTGAGCTGCAGCCAACGAGCATTATCTTAATAGAGGCATCTGTCACTGTAGCACAGTTGCTAGAGAGACATATTAATGGTTATGATGGCCTTGCTCCTAGGGGGAAAAGAAGACCTGGCAAGTCACAATTACTTGTTCAGGGTCGCCCTCTAATCAACTCCACTCCTCAAACGTAAGAGTGTCAAGACTGTGTTCTCCCCCATGAGTGGGGAAGACATGGCGTTGCTTGTGTAGCTCCCTCTTGCCATGCTGTTATCAAGTAATGAAAACAACCGAGGCTGGATTGTGTTGATTCTCCTTCACGTAGAAGATGCCCCCTCATTTTTTTTTCTCCCCTCAGCTTTTCTCGTGGCACTTAGCCCAGACTCCCCTTCATCTTCAGCTGGCCAAGAACACTGATTGTAAATAGGATTGTTATCAAATGAAGCAATCACAGACACACGTTGAAGGAACAGTCGAGGGCCATAGCTGTGTCATCAAGCATTAAGAGCCAGTGTTTCTTGATTAGTGAAGGGTGTGTTTTATTCTGTTTTCCTGCAGATACAGCGTAATGTCTGGGACGCCGGAGAAGATTTTGGAGCACCTCCTTGAAATGATGCGATTGGATTCTCAATTCACAGAGTCAGGTACTGCTCACCATGACACATCCCATGTGTCAAATTAGTGCCATCTAACACGGCCTGTCAATACGATGATCATTTATTGTGGAGAGTTGTCACCTATGCAACATTCTCCTCCGCCCTCGCCGGCTCTTTCTCTCCTCTGTCCTCTGCCAACTGTTCTGCACTGACCCGTTTGTTCTTGCCTATAATTAGCCACACATCACAGGGTCGATCTAATTACTCTCGCTTGCGTGGATACATATGGTTTTCATTCGTCGGCAGAGGTGACACAGACGGGGCCACGAGGATCAAGGCCCGATGCTACTCTTTGATGCTCTCTTTCACCGGCTACACAGGTGTTTGACACAAGCGTCTTTCTTTTTTTGTTACAGACTCAGCCTTAGATGACTTTGTGCTCATGCACTGTGTCTTCATACCCAACAGTCAGCTGTGTCCGGTGTTGATGTCCCAATATCCTTTCAGCATTATGTTCCCTAATTTTTTTTAATGTTCTTTACCATTCCTGTGAACCTGAAAACATAGAGCTCACTGGTTTGCTGCAGCTACATTGTTTCAATCTTTAGCTACTGTGCAGCTACCATGCCCAGGCCTCGCAGGGATCTGAACAGGAGAAGCTGGACTACACGCTTAATAACAAGCGCAGGGTGATCCGGCTGGTGATGCACTGGGCTGCCGTACATGGGGATCACCTGCAGGAAGAGGATGTCTCAGTGTTGTTTTTGGAGGTCAGCCTAAACATATAGGAAGGTTGTTCTAACCTCTGATATAGGTACAGAATAGTCACAACAGCAGAACCGTCTGCAGCTCTGACCAAGACTTGTTCCAGTGTTTCAGATGTGTTCCTAATCAGTTTGGAAAGTTGGGAATTTGCAGGGTAGGTTTGTGATTTTTCTTGAGCCATTCGTGGGCAGTTTATTGAAGTGGGATCATCTTGCTGAGGTAAAATTCTGCTGTTAGGACGTGTCATGGAGAGATATGTGAGTGAAAGACCTAACGTTTTCCAGCATAAAGAGTTGTAAGAGATGATCAGTGTTATCCATTTCACCTCTCAGTTAATCCTGACAATGTTGCGGCGAATCAGTATGCTTTACTTAAAAACAATTAATTGTTCATAATCCTCTTAGATTCTTTGATTCTTCATAATGATAAGATTTTGAAATGTTTTAATAAAGCGAAGGCGCCACACCACTAACCATAACTGATAAATTGATAGAAAATCAGATGTATGTGTGAGTGCATGATGTCCAAATCCAAGAATATTCACAGCTATAATGCTGACAGCCACTCTTTTGTTTCATGGTTGATATTATAATTTACAGCTGTAAACACATACCTTTGCAGTTATGCAAGGTGTTTGCACCTTCTGCTGAGTTTAATTGCACTCTCTCCTCACTATAAATAAACAGACACATGTCAGAAAATCAAAATCACTGAAACTGCAATTTTAAATGTGCATTTATTGTAGATGTGAGCATTAGAATATATATATATGATTCTTGATGATATGCTAACTTAATGTGATGTGGTGCTTGAGAAAAACTTTGTAAATGTATGTTAAAATTAGTTTTAATTAGTTCTTCTGAATCATTGTTTTGCTCAGAGCTTGCTGTGTTTTGCAGGAGTTTTTCATGGCAGTATCTAATGATGCCAAAGCCTTTCCAGCCCTCAGGGATCAACTAACAGAACTGGAAAGAATAGTAAAACGCAAGTAAGTCAGAGCATTGTTTTTTTTGTTTTTAGGTTTTGATATGGATGAAAGGTGCTGTATGTGGTTAGTGCTGAGAATTTAAAGCAGAAAGGCTCTTTAGATAACGATCAAACTTAACTAAAGAGTCATTAACTCTTTTTTAAAAATGTTTTTATTTTATTCTTCAGTGCTGAAGATGCCAGATCCTCACAGAAAAAGGTATAAGACCGACTCTTTTGGTTCCAAATTAAAGTTTGTGTTTTTTCAAATGTCTGTGAACCTAAACGGTGAACCTAAAATTCCCACACAGCACAAAGTCCTGCTGCGGCATTTCAGTGTGGGAGAGGAGAAGCTTCAGAAACGTCAGCCCATCAGGAGTAACGATGAAAGTGAGTTATCATCTCCTGTTATCATAAACATAGATAGCTGGGCTGCTGTCTGTCACATTCAGCTATCTATTTGGAAGTCTTTATCATGCAGTGATAGCGATAGTCAGTATTTTGAAATAGCGACAGAGGTTCGCTACTCATAAACTCAAAGGATGTTTTCTGTTAAAGTATGATGATTTGGTACCG